CCAGGCGGGTCTCGAACCCGCGGGCTCAGGCAATCCACTCACCTCAGCCTCCCAAACATGGAATTACAGGCTGAGCCACCGAGCCTGGCCTCACCTGTATCTTAGAGACAGGTAAGGAAGTGTTCAGCTATGTCATTGAAGTCTATCTTGTTTATGTTCTTGATATTGGATAAAGAAAGAAAAACAAGCCGGGTTTGGTGGCTCAGTTTGTAATCCCGCGCTTTGGGAGGCTGAGGTGAGTGGATTGCCTGAGCCCGCGGGTTCGAGACCCACCTGGGCAACTTGGCGAGACTTCATCTCTACAATAAATCAAAAAAAATTAGCTGGGTGTGGTAGTTCCAGCTACTCGGAAGGCTGAGGTGGAAGGATCGCTGGAGCCCAGCAGGTCGAGGCTGCGGTGGCTGGGAGCGGCCACTGCACTCCAGTCTGGGCGACGGAGTGAGACTCCAACTCAAAAAAAAAGGAAAGAAAGAAAAACATAGCAGAAGCACTAGAAGAGACATAAAATCAGAAGTAGATTAGCTTTTCCTACCTCCAAGATTTATGTTCGTTTTTCTCAGTTGCATAAGTAAGTTAGTGTTATTTATAGTAACCCATCACCTTCTTCTGTCCTCAGGAGCCTGGCAAAGCTAGCCCCAAGGGATTCTCAGCATGGCCTGACTTACCCCTGAGTATGACCCTGAGTTAGCCAGGGAGACCTTTCAAGTGTTTTGTATGTTGAAGTGTTATAATATCTCATAAACCTGTCCAGTTAATTTTTCAGTCTAAGTATATAAAATCATAATTATGATAAAGGAATAATAATAAAAGGGAAACAAGAAAGATTGAATTTAGTTATTAATGAAACAACAAATAACCTGGGAGAGTAAGGACATGGAATTATACATTTAATTTCTCCTTATGTAAAGTCAAAGTTTGAGGCAAAATTTAATCATTACCTATTCTCACTATAACAAAACAGTCTAGCCACCAGAAATATTCACACTCCCTTTAAAAATGTTATTTTTCAGCTGAGCATGGTGATTCACACTTGTAGTCCCAGCACTTTGGGATGCCAAGGAAGGAGGATTGCTTGAGCCCAGAAGTTCAAGACCAGCCTGGGCAATATAGTGAGACTTTGTCTCTGCAAAAAAAAATTTTTTTAATTTAGCCTGGCATGGTAATGCTTGCCTGTAGTCCCAGGTACTCAGGAGGCTAAGGAGGTAGCATCACCTGAGCCTAGGTGGTTGAGGCTGCAGTGAGCTGTGATCATGCCACTGCACTCCAGCCTGGGTCAAAAAACAAACAAAAATAATAATAAAAGGCCAGGCGCAGTGGCTCAGGCCTATAATCCTAGCACTTTGGGAGGCCAAGGTAAGAGGATTGCCTTAGCCCACCTGTTCGAGACCAACCTGGGAAACTTGGCGAGATCTCTACAATAAATCAAAAAATTATCTGGGCATAATGGCACATACCTGTAGTTCCAGCTACTTGGAAGGCTGAGGTGAAAGAATCTCCTGAGCCCAGCAGGTCAAGGCTGTGGTAGCCATGAGTGTGCCACTGCACTCCAACCTGGGTGACAGAATGAGACTCTAACTCAAAAAAAAAAAAAAGATGCCCTTTGTGGTTTTTTTTTTCTTTTTTTTTCAGTTGGAGTCTCACTCTATCGTCCAGGCTGGAGGGCAGTGACACACTCCCGGCCACCACAGCCTCGACCTGCAGGACTCAGGCAATCCTTCTGCCTCAGCCTTCCAAGTAGCTGGAACTATGGGTGCGCACCACCACACCTGGCTAATTTTTTTTTGATTTATTGTAGAGATGGTCTCACTAAGTTGCCCAGGCTGGTCTCAAACCTGGCTCAGGCAATCCTCTCATCTTGGCTCCCAAAGTGCTGGGATTATTGGCATGAGCCACCGCGCCTGGCCTCCTTTATGGTTTTCTAGTCCTCAAACTATTTCATTCCCTGAGGTCAAGAATTATAATACCAGTTGCAAATGATATTCAGTATCTATCTGATATTTTAAGGTATGCTTGAAATGTACTGCAAGGATTCAAGGATTGAGACTTGGACTTCATTAGTTCTTTACAGGAAACCAGCATTTTGGCTTCAGAATTCCTGTGATCTTACCTCCTTAGATTTGCTATTGTTGGTGTGAAGATATAATAAAATAAGAATTAGCTGGGCATGGTGGTTTACGCCTGTAATCCCAGCACTTTGGGAGGCAGAAGTGAGAGGATTGCCTGACCCCATGGGTTCAAGACCAACCTGGGCAACTTGGCAAGACCTCATCTCTACAATAAATCAAACAAACAAAAATTATCTGGGTATGATGGCACACTCCTGTGGTTCCAGCTATTTGGAAGGCTGAAGTGGAGGAATTGCCTGAGCCCAGTGGGCCGAGGCTGTGGTGACCATGAGTGTGCCACTGCACTCCATGGTGACAGAGTGAGACTCCGACTCAAAAAATAAAAATAAATTGAATTCTCCATTAATTTCTTTTTATATTTATTCCCAAGGTTTGCAAGTAACAGCATAAAGATGGAATGCAGCAAATCCTGCCTGGATTGAATTAGGAAACTCCAAGGAATATATTTAAGAACCTTAACTAAGATACAATATGTACTTGCTACAATGACACCTATTGTTCTGTATGTATGTTTTGTATCATACATGGTTCTCTTAACATGTGGGACAACAAATAGTCATGCCAGTGGACAGGAATCTACATTAATAAGTGGCTCCTACTCTAGTGAGTGCATAGATGCAGCAGATCTCCTGAACAAAGAGTCAGAAAGTCTTCACTTTATATCTATTCTATAGCAGTGATTGTCAAACTTTTCTGATTGGGATCCAGAGTAAGAAATAGGAATCACAGGCTGGGCACAGTGGCTCATACTTGTAATCCCAGCACTTTGGGAGGTCAAGGTAGGAAGATTGCTTGAACCCTGGAGTTTGAGACCAGCCTATAGTCCCAGCTACTCAGGAGGCTGAGGTAGAAGGATCGCCTGAGCCCAGGAGTTCAAATACAGTGATCATGCCACCGTACTCAACTGGGATAGGAGAGTGAGACCCCCAACTCAAAAAAAGAAAACAGAAAGAAAGACAGAAGAACTACAACATAATCCAATATATATAGAATCCAGTGTGTGGGTTTTTGTGTTTATGTGATATGTATGTAAAAACACACACATCAAGTATTATAAGACATTATATATTAAGCATTATGATATTTTTCTATTTTTAACGTAAAAAAAAATATTGGTTAAAACTCAGGATTTGGAAAATGCTACTCTGTATCATCTCATACCAACACTTACCACCTGCAAATTATAGGCAATCACACTGAATAAATCAACAGCTTACTGCAGTAGCTGGGGTTTTTTGTGTGTTTTGTTGTAGTGTTTTGTGTATGTGTATTTTTTTTGTATGTATCTAGCATCATTGTATCTCTTCTGTTGAGTTTTTTTTTTTTTTTAATTGGAGTATCACTCTGTCACCCAGGCTGGGGCATAGTGGCACACTCATGGCCACCACAATCTCAACCTGCTGGGGCTCAAGTGATCCTTCCGCCTCGGTCTTCCAAGTAGCTGGAACCACAGGCGTGCACCCCCATGTCCGGCTGATTTTTTTGTTTATTGTAGAGACAAGGTCTCGCCATGTTGCTCAGACTGGTCTCAAACCCCTGAGCTCAGGTAATCCTTTTGCCTATGCCTCCAAAGTGCTGGGATTACAGACTAGAGCCACTGTGCCCAACTTTTTTTTTTTTTTTTTTTTTTGACTTTGATTCTCACTCTTTCACCCAGGCTGTTGTGCTGTGGCATGCTCACGGCCACTGCAGCCTCAACCAGCTGGGCTCAGGTGATCCTTCCACCTCAGCCTTCCAAGTAGCTGGAACCACAGGCATGTGCCACCACACCCAGCTAATTTTTTTGATTTATTGTAGAGACGAGGTGTCATCAAGTTGCTCAGGCTAGTCTAGAACTCATGAGCTCAGGTAATCTGCTCACTTCGGTTTCCCAAAGTGCTGGGATTATAGGCAAGAGCCACTGCATCTGGCCTAATATTTTGATTTATTGTAGAGACAAGATCTCTCCAAGTTGCCCAGGCTGGTCTCAAACCCCTGGGCTTAGGCAATCCTCTTGCCTCGGCCTCCCA